CACACACACACACACACACACACACACACACACACACACACACACACACACACACACACACACACACATATGTATGTATGTATATATATATATATATATATATATATATATATATATATATATATATATATATATAGAGAGAGAGAGAGAGAGAGAGAGAGAGAGAGAGAGAGAGAGATCTTTTACACAAAGATTTTTCTGTCCTGTAAGCCAGTCACCCATCTAGGCCCAGGATGGCTTCTCAGGGCATCTAAAAGAAATATTTCTTCACTAACATTATTATTTTTTTAAACGCATTACGAGTAACAATTTTATCTTGCAGGCTCGAGGGAGAATGGTGACGTCAGCAGTGCACGAGGAGGAGGACGAGGACGACCAAGGGAAGCGCTCATGTTGCCCCGTACATGTTACTCAAGGAAGCCCAAGTTACCCGGCAAGTGTTACACAACTGAGGGAACTGAGTGACCCAGAACAAACTACCGGAATGAGTAAATTACAACATAGTGCCCGAGAAAGCAACCCAGATTACGTTACCCAAGAAAGTAACCCTAATTCCTCCCAGCATTTTATCCAAGGAAATAAATCAAGTTATCCAAGTTACTCTGAACATTTCAGTCAAGGAGACAGCTCCAACGACAGGGAAATGTGTGACGATTACATGAATCACCATAACAAAGATGCGTGTGAGATCGTGTGCGTCCAATGTTCCGCGTCGAATCAGTCTGAAAGCTCTTCGGCTTCCATGGAGCGTTTTTGTGCACGGAGCTGCCCTTGTGTGTGCCACGAGATCGAAGTCCCTTCCGAGAACGCCAGAGTGTCCCTTGAAGGCGCCCAGAGCAGCCCCAGTGGCCACGAAGACAAGCCTTCAGGGGTGAGACTCACAGGGCCTTGGCCTTCGTCTCGCGCCCCTACGTTTACGGAACACGAGCCGCCCTCGTCTTGCCCCGCCTCCCTGAACTGGGCGCCCGAGCCTCCGGGGGACGCAGGGACGGGGAACAACCTCACCCTCAGGGAATACCTGGTGGAGCTCGAACGGATCCGACGGCCCCAGGGCAATGGCGGTGACGTGGAGAAGAGAAGTCACAGAAGGAACTGCATTATTCTCATAGTGTTCATTATTTGCATAAACGTTACCATCGGTCTTATTCGTGGGTTGAGTGGTCTGCCAGGCGTAACGGATGAGTGACTCACCAGCGTTGTTTATGAGTCAGTACACTCGTAAACACAGCGCTGAGCTAATGAGGTGAAATAACGAGGACGGAGAAAGAAACAAACAAGAGTAATTAAGGGGATAAGACCGATAATATAACGAAAGCAAAATATTAGAAAAGAATACATTCCTATCGCTGATGAAATTGCCAAAAAAAGCTCGTCACACACATTTCTCGAACTACATATTACCCAATCCTTTTACAAAGAGATGTTTTCTGTAACAAATAACCAGGTGTTGGGACCGCATTGCACTGAGCTCTGTAAACCTGTTGAGGAAATTGCCAAATACCACACGACGCGCGGCCGATTCGTGTGGACCCAAACTGCCCTTCGCTCAACACACGCTTGTTTGCCGAAACGCGCAGCTAAACTGAAATGTTTGTACCTGTAATAGTTCTTGTGATTGGTAATGGTGTTTTTTTATGTATTGTTTTTTGTTAATATTTTCGTTTTAAGGATGAGCAGAAACATGAGATGTATAATATGTGAAGAAATAGTTATTAGCGAGAACTTTTAATATATGACCTTCACTTATTCTCTCTTTCGTTTCCTGTGTTTATCTCTCTCTCTCTTGGTCTCTGACTCGTCAATTCTATCTCTGTCTGTCTGTCTGTACTTGCGCAATTTTTTTTATAAACACACACACACACACACACACACACACACACACACACACACACACACACACACACACACACACACACACACACACACACACACACATACACACTCCTTGAAACTAGATAAAACCAGATAGAATTTATGTATCAGAAAACCAGTGAAATTTAAAAAAGGCAGACATAAAAAAGAGAAAAATAGAGAGAGAAAGAGAGAGAGATAGAAGAGAGAGAAAAAGAGAGAGAAAGTGGGTGTGGAAAATGATAGAGAGTGTGTGTGCGTTTGTGTGTGTGTGTGTGTGTGTGTGAGAGAGAGAGAGAGAGAGAGAGAGAGAGAGAGAGAGAGAGAGAGAGAGAGAGAGAGAGAGAGAGAGAGAGAGAGCGAGAGCGAGAGCGAGCGTGCGCATCCTCAAATTCGGATGTAACATTTAAATATTCGTTCTCTGGTGGCCACAAGTCCAATTATACATCCTGTTGGTGAATTCCCTAAAAAACAGAAACTTTATTTATAATTTACGTTTTTTTTTTTCTTTCGGGAAATCCCAAATGTGTTTAAAAAATGGTCGGAGAAATGTATCTTTTCGTACGGTGACTTATGATTTTTCTAAATATTATTTTTATACGAGATGTAGTGATTTATTTGCCAGTTGAACATAAAATAAAACTTAGGTG